GGTCAGGAGACCTCTGATCCTGGGGGTCACAGCCATGTTCATTCAACACTGCTAACCTTGCTATTCCCAGTCCCTCCAGACATCCAGATGCATCCTCCATTACCTCTGTATCTCCTGCATATTGATGATAATGGTCAAAGCCATGCATACGAGCACTGATAAACTAATTATGGTATGTGAATCCTCTGGGAGACCCCTTTAGTAACTGAGGGTAATGAAAGAAGGCAGAGGCGGGAGGGCGCTGTGCGGGAGAGGAGCCTGATGGACAGAGCCCTTCAACTTCCTTCATTTTCTCTTTATATTCCAAATAACTCCCTTGCTCAATTTGCTACCCACACACCAAAGCATTGTCCCATTTTATCTGGTTCCCCTGATACTTCCATTGCTTATCTTATGAAGATCTGTGTCAACATTTATCAAAACAAATGGCAAGCCTGGGACCTTTTAAGTAGTTTTTTTAGTTAATAAAACCAATCTTCTACTTCTGTTATGTTAAAAGTACATTATCTTTTTATTACAAACTCTCTGCAGCTCTGTCTGTTTTCCTTCTTGGCAATTTCATGACTGCTCCAGTTGATTGCTGTATGGAGAATTACAAAATCATTAAGGGTGGGGTTTTACCAGCTGACTTACAGTACAAGCCATTTCTCAAAATAACCACAACAGTGCAATACTGATGTGTAATTTACGTCACAGTATGTTTTTATGAAATAGTTTGTGGCTTATTCGTTTAGATTTAGAACTGAATATCTCTTCTCTCGCTTTTTAATCAAGCCTGCTTTTTTTCTTTTTTTTTTTTTTTTTTTTTTTTACTTTTTAATATTTTCCACTCTGAGGCTTGGCTTGCCTCCAACTTACCAGCTACATTGAGGAGGAAAAAATTGATTTTTTTTTTTCTTTGCCTGCAGTTTAACTGCAAGTGTGTTTCCCTTTGATGTATACATTTGTGTTAACTGCCTCGGAAGAGATGGTAGATTAATGGTAGAATATATTGCACAAAGGTAGAGCAGAGAATTGATAAGAGATGTAAAAGTTTGCAATTTCAAACCATATCAAGCGTTTCTATTTAGCCTCCTGTGCTGTTACATTTCCTTTTTAAAAATTGCTTTCTGTATAATGTCTTGTAATTAGAACAGGAAATCATTGACTAACTGTGAGAAGAAAAAGAGCACTTAAACCGAAAAGAAATTTACCTTCTGAGAAATTATTTTCACTTTTTTTTTCCTTTTTTATTCTTCCCTTCACATTAATGGCTTGTTAATGATAGTAACAGATGTACAGACCCTTATCTGTATCATTGTTCTGCTTGTGTTTTTTGGGGGGTGGGGGAAAAAGTCATTTTCAGTAATACAAAAAATGAATGGACAGAAAATGGGAAAAGCCTAATTACGAAAAATATTCTGTGTCACAACAGAGTAGCAATTAAATTGAAACTTCAATATAATTATCAATAACAGTCGAGCCTGGAAGGGTGCCAGCCGCGTAAAGTTGGTGCTCAGCCTTTATGTGGTTGCTAGGAGCACGGCAAAAAGTATAAAGCTTAGAGAAAGGAATGTCTAATGTAATAAAGTAACAGAAGGAAGCATAAATCATTGTGAGAGCAGTTCATATTGACATTATTTTACTTAAATTGGGTCGAAACTAGACATTTAGTCTTACAAGAGGCACAAATTCATATTTCTTSTGCTGGAATAACTCTGTGCTTTCTGGGAAGAAGTGGAGTATGCTTTCATAGCACCAGCCTCATACATATTTGGAATCTTTTAAGCAAAAGTCTTTAAATGTTTATTTCTGTTGGCATCCAAATGCATTTGCACTAATACGATTAAAAGAACTAAAGGGCAAAATACTTGGCAGCTTTTGCAGTTGAGGTAATTAGGTACAGGAAGGAACATGCATAGTTTTTCCATCAAGCTCTGTAAAATCCTGGTGTGAAGGTCTTTTTAAAGAAAAAAAAAATGCTTACTGATGTTGAGCGTAGATTATGGCAGTTAGCAATAACATTATGGGCTGATGTTCCTGAAACAAGCAAACAAAAAGCATGTTGCTTTTTGTATTTCTCTGCTGTCTCTGTAAATAGTTCTGGCTCTAGATGGATTTGTTAGGAATTCGTGCTTTTAACAGGCTTTTTTTTTTTGTTTTCTTTTGGGGCATTTAATTGTCTTGCCTTACATATTAAAAATGGTTGTGCTGATTTGAAAAGTCAGTTCTTGCATAGATTCATTGTGTTTGGCATTTCATGCATCTCTTACTTACAAAGACAACTTGAAGAACATGTAATCCAACATAAATGCCAGGCTGTGCCAAATCCCAGCTCTCTTTACCCCTCACAAAGGGAACTGTTGGATTACATCTGTGCATATATAGGGAGTGCTCGGAAGGCAGGGGTGGAACCTTGCTTCCTAATTACAGTTTCTCTGTTTTTAGCCTTGAAATAGAAAAATAAATGAAAAGTTGACATTGGAGGGGGTTATTAAACCACACAATTATGATATAAGCATAGGATTAGAGTAATTTCAGTGGAGCCTCACAAGCAGAATACTGTGGGTATTATCTTTTACCATGTTTTGTCTGTTGAAGCTAAAATAAGACTCAGAAATATAGTGTCTTGGTTTCCTAGTATCTCAGTTGTATGTTTTTAGAAGTCATGTTGGTTTTCTTAAYTTTATTGGAACGTGATCCATATTTTGAGCTCAGATTCTTCAAGAGTAAACTCTTTTCTRATCATATTTRCGAATTGCAATATTCACTAAGTCCACYATTAAATGGCATTCTGATAGAARCAAATAATAGTTCTTCTTCGGGCTTGCATTTTATTAGGGATTGGTCTGCTTTGATTTCTCTTTTCTCATATGGGCGTGGTTGAGGAAAAAATCTTTGTTCCAGGAACACTGTGTTTGTCTTTCACTAAACAAATCTTCAGTTTATTCAGCCTTTGTTCATTCTTAGATGTATCTATTGAACATGGAGTGAAAAAGAAAGGGAAACAAATGCATCATAAAGTACTCATTGGAATTGCAGAAGCATGTATGGAAGTGATCCTGTAAAAAATTACTTGGTTTTAATTTACGCCAGGGGGGTTGAGTTAAGTCGTCAGTTGTCAGGGGTACAAAGTTTGTGTAATTCTGCGCAGGGACTTGGAGCACATTTGTCTAGAAACTAATGGTTTACTACAAAGGAATGTGGGACATACATTTATATACACCCTGTTTAAAAAGCTGACCACATCCTGGCATAAGAAAAGCGCTGTCAGATCGACAGATTCGGCTCACCGCTATCTACACAAAGGTATAAAGTAGTAATAACCGTCAGGCAGGCGTGTGTGAAACTCTCGAAGGAGCTAAAGGACGGATCATGTGCTTGTTAATTCCTAGAACAGTTTTCCTGATCTGATTTTTAGAGTTTCCTAATAAAGAAGAGAGAGCCTTATTCCCAGGAGCAATTGGCTCAATCGTGCTGTTGTGTAGGCTTATGGGATACTTGTTGAAACAAAGAAAACTGTGACCACATCCTTATTGACCAAAAGAGTTTTTAGGGCCATCAATTTTATTTTTTAGAAGAGTAATGTCAGTGCTGTTTACTAAAATCTATTACACATTTCTTTCTTTTTTTTTTAAATTTTTTTTTCTCTTTTTTTTTTTTTTTTAAACACAAATTGTTTTATTTCCTCACCTACGTCAGGTTAGTGGTGAGAGCTCTTTAAAGTGATGACTTTCAGGAGCTGTGCTTATAAAAACAATACTTTGCAAGTCTGTCTGCCGTGTTGATTTTTTTTTTTTTTTTAAACAGCACTCCACTCGTCTGCAGGGATGACATTCTAGGTGATATATCTCCTTCCAGAGACTTCTTAAAATTTAGCCTTTTATGTGTCAACATTTCCATTGCCTCATTCGAATCTAAATGAGTTGTTTCATCATATTTTGTTGGGGAGAACTGATTTGACATTTCTTTCAATGTCTGAAGTGATTTTTACTTTAAGGGTAAGAATGATGATTTCAGTATTGGTAATGGGATTAAATAGTAGACCTTTTGTCTCTGGCAGAAGAAATAGCTGAGTTATTCAGTAATCAGAGTACAGCAGAAAACGTAAAGTGAATGCTCTTGCTTTATCTTCATCGGCATGCATAGGAAGCCATGTTCGATTACATACCTGAGGAGATAAATAAGCATAAAAAGAAGTGCTATTAAGTACTGGCTTGCATACCTGCAAATGAGTAATTTCTCATGTTTGCATCCCTAGTTGGATTTTTTTTTCTCTTACATTTCTTCCTGGTTATATGATGACACTTGATTATGATATTTCAAAGTCTGCCACCTTCRTATATAATATCTAAACTGTGGAGGAATTGAAAGGTCTGAACTCTAGAATGCTTTATATTTTGAGCCAGCAGCATAGACTGTTTGAAAATTCATTTGCTCATAGTGCTCTGTAGGAGTTTTATTGAGTCCTTCTGTATTTGCATTTAACGTGAGGAAAGTTGCTTCCACCTGTTGGGGTTTAGCATCAATGACCAGGTCAGATCAGCGCACCTCCCTGGCCCAGGGGCCCTTCAGGATCAGGTACTTCAAAGGAAGGTTAATAGCTGTATGCTCTGAGGCTTGTATGTTATTATTTTTAAAAGATGTTAGTTGATGTAAACATGAGTGCAGTAAAGCTATATGGGGAACTGAGTAAAAATTATAGATAATATTTCGATCGAAGCAGCCAAGTTGGCAAACATTTTGATTCAGGCCCCTGGCCAGCTTCTGCAGAGCAGTGTTTTCTTGCTCATCCAGGTAGTCCTTGTGAGTAAGCATGGGAGAAGTGAACAGAAAGGCCAAAAGTAAGCTGTTTTAATAAAATTTCTTTAAATTTCTATTTTTAACCTTTCTTACCAAACCCACTGTGCTACAAAAATTGAAAAAATACTGAACTTAWGGGTTTTCTGATATAATTGAGTTATAGCTCTTGTTTTGTATTTTTCTGATATACTTAGAGTATTTTTCTTCTTTTCTTTCAGGTGAGGATGACGAAGATTCAAACCTGTTAATTCTTAGCTACCCACAGTACTGTCGATATCGTTCCATGCTAAAGCGCATTCAGGACAAGCCCTCTTCAATACTAACAGACCAGTTCGTTTTAGCCCTTGGAGGCATTGCGGTAACAAGCAAGAACCCCCAAATCTTCTATTGTCGGGATACATTTGATCATCCTACCCTAATAGAAAATGAAAGTATATGTGATGAGTTTGGTAAGTTCCATTACAGCTATTTTCTTTTTMTCGCGAGTAAAGACATTTTCCTTCTTTTAAGTGTCCACTGATTTCCAAAGGGAATATGTGATTCCTTTGAAGTGAAAACCAATGCTATTTATGGTTGAAATGTTAAGTGCCTAATATGCTTTCTCTTCTCCGAGACTGAAGGCTTGTAGCCACTGGTGATCTCACTATTGCAACTTGAGTTCACAATCAAAGATAATGTTACACAGGTGGAGTGTAGCACAGGTGACTTGGTCTGAGCGAAACAGTACCTTGGCTGGGTTTGCAGTTTATCTGCCTTAACCATTCGCCTGAAGCCTGGCTTCCAGAAACTTTACATTTCTTTAAGTTGTCACTGGTGCAATACWCTAAAAATGCAAAATGCAGAGCGCTCGGCAGCCATGCTCCCAGGGCCCTGTACAAGTGTCAGCTGTAGCTGGTGTGTTTCTGGTCATCTTTGGATCTAGACTTATTCAGCAGGGGCTTTGCCAGTGCTAGGAGCTTGATTTTATGAGTGCAGAGGTACTTCTAGGARATGACTTCTAAATTCAAAAGACATAGAGAATACTCTGCAGCTCTAAAGGGGTATGCGGCCCCTTACAGATKGGGGAGAGGACTGCAAGATTTGACACCTGATAACAAACACGTGATTTCGYGTTGGGTTTTTTGGTGTCAGATCAACCAAAGCACGGTAGATGTGCTGTGTACTAGAATATGTGGCAGAATGCATGTTGTGTAGACACCCAGGGTAACTCCAGTATTGGGTCCAGTRTAGTATCTTTAGCAGTGTCCAGAAWGAAGTTTTATCACCCATATCACTAGGTGGATGAGTGCTGTGGCTAATGCTAGCAAAGTCTGCATGGTGGTGTGTACATCTTTGCTTGCGAGAGCCCCACATCTCTGCAAAGAAGCTCTTGTGCTCTCTTAGAGAAACAATTTCTGCTTATGGGTTTAATCATTTAGTAATGGGAGGGAGAGGGAAGTGCTTTAATGATGTTTCTGACGGGATAGTCCTCTCTCCCATTTTTCTGAACTCAGGCACGCTGGCTTGGAGCTTGGTGCCCAGCTCAGGCTCATTCTCTGTGTCAGCAGAGAAACACTGACTCATCCAGTGGCTTTGGAGCATTTTCTAAGGTAGTGCTCCTCTGCTGCTCTGCCACTCCATTCCCAACAGGCAGACAAGATCTTTCTTCACGTGGTGTTGTCGCTGGAGCACATGACTGCTGGGAAGAGTTTTAGTTTTGTGCTGTCAAGATTTTTCAGAATCAGGCCCAAACTGTCAAGTCTGCTCACACTCACACAAAACGTTACAGGCTTTGAATAAACTATGAATAAAAGTGTTGGTTGCTCTTAGGGGGTGGGGGTGGTGAAAAAAATGAATGAAATGCCCTGAAAGTTTGGTCCAATAGCACAATAGTATCATGTTGGTTTTTATTTACTCTGAGCTCAAGCTCAGAATATAAAGTTCAGTTTTAATTGACTCTCCTTTTTATATGGGAAAGGTTATTTTAGGCTTGAAGGCGTTTGATGAGCCTACCATCTGCTTTCTGTGGAGTATTTTATTCAGGGTCATTCCTTGATTACAGGTTTGTTGAAATAGTTGGATCCATAATGTAAGTGTATCATGGAATATTAGCAATAGGTGAATCAAAGAGATGTGGAGTGATGCAGAAACTACGCTTAGTGAACCATAGCAAGTGCTTTGTTCAGTCTCTGAAAGCAAACTATGCCATTCTCTTGACCTTTGCGAGGCAATTATCTCATTATCAAACCAGAGCCACAGAAATCTTAGCCGTAGAAATTAATAATGTGTATTTAAAATTCAGTTTGGTTTAAGAAGCAGATTTTTAAAAATCTCTATTAAAAAAAAGCCACAAAAATCCCCCAAAACTGCTGTTTAAAAGTATTTCTTATGAAAATAATGATGTAAAACTTGCAAGCCCTGCTGTTTTAAGAAGAAAAAACTGGCCAGTGTATGGTTCCATATCTGTATTGCAAAATGTATGGTGTCAATTATRCTACCTTTGTTGAAGACAACAGGCAAAGTACTAGTTTATCCTTCTCTTTGCTGGCAGGACAATAAAATGTACAACACTTCATTATACAAACAGTTTACATTGATATCGTGTCGATTGATGTCACATGGAATGACTGCTAAGGCTAAACAGAGGCASGGTAGCACAGTAGATAAATACATTACTCTGAGGCACTGGTATTTATCAGTCAAATCTGAGGGGATGCCAGATTACAGAAATATGACTAAAATTCTGARTAGGTGTCTACAGGGAGATCCAGACACATTTAATTTGAAGGGTTTGGCYCTCTTAACTTGCAAACAAATTAAGYGTGCAGAAGGAACAAGAAGGGAGTGTGTGTTTCACCATTTTTACCTGAAATTCTCCTAACGCTAAAGCAAATATGAAATTTGGGAAATATACTGTGCTGATGTTTTTATGTGGGAAGCACTGGAGCAGTGGTTTCTGATGTGGATGCCAAGTCTTCAGAAGCATTGTTTTGGATGCAGGTCTTACATGTTCTCTGAACGTTGGAGTATTGTGCAACAGATTCAGGGTGTGACAAGTGAGATACCAGAACCACCTTTACAAAGAGCCCCAGAGTGTAAGCTGTTGTCCTTGTTAGGCAGTTTTAATAGAGGGAATTGTTTTTTCCAGGAAATACTCTCCCTACTTTCATTACAGATTTATACAAAAAAAAAAATTTGTTGAGCTCTGACTTCTTCTCATATTCCTTGCCTATTTTTCCCTCTTCTGTAGGGTTTAACAAAAATAAATAACGCAGGAAATGGGGAAGAAGAATTAAGTTTTGGTTGACAGTAAATAATGTTGGTTTGGTGTGGGACTTTTTAAAGCARTGTCTGTGAGCTCCCACAGGTACGGCCATAAGGGACACACCGAGGCTTTGGGCAGTCCTGAGTGATGTTCTGTGTTTCCATAGAGCTTCTGTGAGCCTCAGGCTATGCTAAGCTTCCCCTCCAGCTCCAGCTTGGGCTGCCATGGGTTCTGCTGATGCTGCAACTACCTCTGCTTGCCTCTGCCCTGCATGTCCACTGCTGTATGGCACGTGCCTGAGTGGTTTGGGCAGGAATATTTAGGACCAGTTGTCTTGCACAGTCCTTTTCTGACTCTCCTGTAGCTTGGTTCAGTGTGCTACAGCATCCCAGCTAGGAGGCTGCTGAGGAATGGKCTCAGCAGCTGGAAGGCTCAAACATTTGCATCTGTTTCTTTGCAGCCTGCCAGGGGAGGACTTGCTCTCCATTTGCAGAGGAAAGACTGCTGTGAGTGGGAAGCATCCTGCTCCTATTCTTGTTGATACAACTACTGATTAGTTAATCCAACTGCCTTGGAGGGTTCCCCTCCAGAATGCAAATGGGCTCCAAAGCTTGCTTCTGTTCAGAAAGCAGAAGATATAAACCATGCTTGGATGTCTTGATAGCCCAAGTTCCTGGCTATGACTGCAGTCAGACTGCACACGTATCCCTCTCCTGAAAGAAGAGCAATTAGAGGTCCTCACCAGCGTGAAGCAGTCCAGGTGGATAATGAAATGAACATGAGCAATGAAAATGAGTAATTCATTTCTCTTCAACTCGAGACATTTTTCAAAATCTTTTTCATTTATCAGCCTCTGGGGTTACTGTTACTGAATAACTTTTGTAAATGCATATCATTTACTGGCATCTGCTGTGTGGTCATACGTGCTGCAAGAGAGAAGGAATGAAAAAAWTGGGTTCCTAATAATTTTTGTTATAGACCACAGTGATCTAGCTGGAGGCAAAGCTGCCTGTGAGTGTTCAGAAGGTGTATCTGAAGGCTACTGGGCATAAATCAGTATGCACTTGTTGCTGGAGCAGCACATGTCCTCTGTGTTTGCTTGTCCAAGAACAGTGACTTSAGTTGTCAGGGTCGTGCCAACTCAATGGCATGGAGTGGCTTCCAGGGCACATCAATGAGCCTGGATCCTTCTGTGATCCAGCTGTGGTCTGGATGATGGTRGGTTTCAGCTCCATCAGCTTCACCAGGTGAAAATCTTGCACAAAAGGATTAGTCATGGTGCTTTGCTAGATTTAAATATTTTAAATYCTGCATGCTAAAGGTGAATCCAAAYGCTGTCTTTTATTCTGTGAGGATGGGCTTGCTTTTTCTATAAACAGGAATGTGAGAGAAAACTTAGTATCTTATTTCTTCTCAATTTAAAAAATTTATTTGGTAAATTTGAAATCATTCTGTATTATTTTTACAGCATGCTGGGTCTAATATGCCATTAAACAGTCTGGTCCCTGGACTACTGTAAAGACATGTTCACCCCCAGAAGAAGATTAAAAGTTTTTGGGTTTGCATGTAAAACCCTATCTTCTTATGAAACATTTCATACCTAAAAGTGAGAGAACTACAACCTACTGTGGTATAAATACAATTTTTTCTATGAAAAATTAACTACATTTGGCCATAACATGAGCAATGCAATGCAAAGGGAAACTGCTCATTGAGAAAAAAACTGTGTGCACAAGGGCATTGCAGGCCCCACTTAGCTCCTCTCCCCATCCCCCAAAGCAAACTTGACAATATATTGCTTGCTAGGGGAAAAGTTATCTATATTAAAATRCAAAGCTCAAAACCTTCAACAACTCATCTGTCCCTGTGAAACAATGAAGAAAGCAGTTTGTCTCACTTCCAGGGCTGGCAGGGAGTGGTTGGGAATGAGGGGTGACTTACCAGTCCTCCCAGCTGCTGGAGCTTCTGAGCCAACAATTTAGGGACTTACACGCCTTCCCGTCATTGGCTGGGGAAGCCATGGAAGAGCAGCCTTATGAAGGAGAAAGGACTTTTTAGGGGTGGTCATGTGCCAGAAAAATTCTGTGGCATGAAAGCTGGTGACTTTGGGGTATAGAGTGGTACCAYTAGTCCTGGTAGAGCTGAAATTTGGTCTTTGCTCTCATAATGTATCTTAGTTTACAGAAGTTTTGTGACTCACAGATA